GGTGGCGCAGTGGTTGAGCGCTGGGTTACGAAGCTGCGCTCAGCCTCTGCAGCGCCGGTTCGATCCCCGGCTGCTCCCCGGCCACCGGAGGAGGGTCCCACATGGCGCGCAGACCTCTCCTGCCGCCCGCTGCTCCCCTCAGCAGTGTACTTCAGTCCTTCTGTCTGCTCTGCTCCCCGCTATGGCTCTGGTGAATTCTCTCACCCTCCCGCGCTTCTGACTGTACCCAGTGCATGTATAAACAAAACAAACAAAAAAAAATAAAATAAATAAATAAAGCATGCCTCTAAAACATAAAAAAAAAAAAAAAAAGAAAAAAAAAAAAAACTAGTAAAATTAAGAGTTCAGTTCCTCAGCCACTCTGGTTACATTGTAGTGCTCAAAAATTATATATATGTATAGGACAGTCTGGGACTGGAGGAGAATATAAGCAAGCAGAAAATTAAGAGGGTGAGTAAATGCTATAAAAGGGGAGGATAAAGTGGTCTGGGAGCTCATATTAGGGGGGCAAATTTAGCTTAGGCAGAAGAATTTATCAAGGAAACTATGCAGGAAAAAATCCCATCTATCCTGAGGCCGCTAGAATAAGCCAGAGGCAGACAGGTGATAAGGAGAAATGAGCATCTGGCAGAGGAAAAGGTGTTGACTTTGTGAGGAAAGGTAACATTTTTACAGACCTGCCCATATTTCAGTTGGACACAAATACACAAATGCAGAAAATAGCATGATAATTGCCAGGGCTAGTGAAGGACAACAGCAATTGTTTAATAGCTATGGAGTTTCCGTATTTAAGCAGAAAAGAGTTGTGGAGGTGGATGGATAGTGATGGTTGCCAACAACATGAATGTACTTAATGCCAATGAATTGTGACTTAAAAATGGTTAAGATGGTCACTTATATGGTATGTGTATTTTACCACAAAAAAAAGAAGTTGGGAATTAAATTTAAAAAGGTTGTTATTAATGTAGTCAAGAGATATAGATGGGGGCTGTAATGGAGTGAAAGAAATACAGAGGAAAAAAATGTGTTGATCTCAGGAATATTAGGGATATGACTAACAAGAATTTATTGGCGGCTGATTTTTTTCAAGAGGGAAAATTAGAGGCCCAACTACGTCTTAGGTTTCTAGCATGAGCAACTGGGGTAGACAGTGATGACATTCATTGAGATATGGAATAAAGATGAGACATAGATTTGACAGAGGTTAGGGTTGTGGAGAAATAAAGCGTTCGCATTAAGATTGATTGATTTTTAGGTGCTTGCAGGGAATCCAAGGGGAATTGTCTGGTAAGGAGTTGGGAATATAGATTGTAATTTCTGGATACCTGTCTTGGAACCACCCCCTCACATGGATGCTAATTAAAACTTTAGGTGTGGATGATTACCAACAGTCTGCATGGTGGTATGTGATTGGTGGGCCAGCCTATTTCCCTGAACTTTCTTCTGTGAATTTTTTGCTTCCTCACCAATAGTCTGCGCAGTTTAAGTGAGACTCCCTCTTTGGGAAACTATGGAAACAACCCAAATGCCCAAAAATAGATAACTGGATCAAGAAGATGTGGTACAGATACACAATGGAATATTGCTCAGCAATCAAAAAAGATAAACTCATGCAATTCTTAGCAACATGGATGGAGCTGGAAGGGATCATGCTCAGCGAAATAAGCCAGAAAGAAAAATAAAAATACGAGATGGTTTCACTCATAGCAGGAATTTAGAAAACCTCAATAAGGGACCAGGAAAAAGACAAATTATGGGGCCTCCCCGGTGGCGCAGCGATTGAACGCTGGGTTGCGAAGCTGCCCACGGCCTCTGCGGCGCCAGTTCGATCCCTGGCTGCTCCCCGGCCACTGGAGGAGGGTCCCACATGGCACGCAGACATCTCCTGCCGCCCATGGCACGCAGACATCTCCTGCCACCCGCTGCTCCCCTCAGCACTGTACTTTGGTCCTTCTGCCTGCTCTGCTCCCTGCTCTGGCTCTGGTGAATTCTCTCACCCTCCCGCGCTTCTGACTGTACCCAGTGCATGTATAAACAAACACACAAACAAACAAATAAATAAATAATACATGCCTCTTTAAAAAAAAAAAAAGACTAATTATAAGAAAATCAAAATCAAAATCAACAAGCAACTATAAACCAGAGACATACTATGGCGGGAGGGGAGGGAGTAGGATCAAAACAAGGGGTGGGGTGGAAATTGTATGGGGACTATAACCAAGATAAAAATGCATTCATTGTGCAAAAATGAAAAATGATGTAAAAACATATAAAATTTAAATAATAATAATAAAGAATATAAAAACACAGGTCCCAGTCAAGTAGAGGGTCACTTATACCTGGTCACAGCCTCAGCTAATTAAATGAGAATGAATCTAAGGGCTTAAATAAGATCTACACATTTAAAAGGAAAACTTCTTCTGCTTGATCCTGATGGACAGAACCTGAAAAAATATGAACTAGGAATATTGCAGCTAGCATGTGAAGCCCAAGGACAACAATATAGATTTAAGATGAAGAAAAACTGAGCTTATGTCATTTCAGTCCTGAATCCAGTCATACCTAAAGCAAGATCGAACCCCAACCATATCAGTATGTGTCCCAATAAAATGCTTTTTTTTTTTTTTTTACTTAAGCCAGTTTGAGTTGAGTTTTCTGGATGTGCATCATAATGAATATAGGCATTTCTCACCTTGAATGATAATGCAGGACCAATGACCTGCATGCTGACACCCTCCAGTGATCTTAGTCATTAGGAATGTTTTTACCTTTCGCACTTTCAGTGCTGCAAAATATCCCTGTGATTTACTTTAATTTGGAGGCTTTTTGTTTTTGTTCTTGCCAGCATTACTTTTCTGGAACACCTACGTCCTTTTTGTCATGACCATTTCGCTCGTTTATGTTGATTCATTTCCCTTCATGAAATTCCTGGTGGTTACATGTCCAGAGTCTCTTGAAGGGTGACAGTTCCAACATTCCCACAGTCAGCTACTTCTCCTGTAACTCCATTTACGTTTCATTCTGCAAAGTTATGCCAGCTTCTGAAACAATGAAATCTACCTTTTCCAGCAGTCAAAGTATCTCCTTCATTTTGCTTATAATACTGTTTTCTTTCAACGAAGCAACTTATTTCAATGTTTGGCCTAATGCTAGTTAAACTGACTGATTTTTTTTTTTTTTTCATTTTAGTCTTCAATCCAAAGTAGAAGTGCTCCATTTCCACCATAAGAGACTTTCTGTTCTGAGTGTTTCCATGTATAAACCAGTGTTTATTCTGAGTGTTTCTGAGTATAAACCAAACAATGTTGACACCATTTAAAAGTGTACAGTTCAGTGGTTTTAGTGTATTCACAATATTGTGCAACCATAATCATTATCTATTGCCAAAATACTTTCATCAAAAAAAAAAAAAAAAAACCAGCACTGTACCCATTAGTAGTAATTTCCTATTCTCTCTCTTCCCAACTCTTTGAAACCACTAATCTACCTTCTATCAGTATGGATGTATCCATTCTGGACATTTCATATAATGGAATTAAAGGACATATGCCTTTTGTTTTCAGCTTTTTTCACTTAGTATAATATCATCAAGGTATACCCAGGTTGTAGCCTCTATCACTACTTACTGCTTTTTATTGCTGAATAATGTTCTTTTGTACTGATATACATTTATCCATTCATCAGGTGGTGGGCACTTGAGTTGTTTTTACTTTTTAGCTGTTATGAATAATGTTACAATGAGCAAGTTTTTTTTTGTGTGAGTATATGTTTGCAATTTTCTTGGGGATATCCCTAGGAGTAGAATTTCAGGACCATATGGTAACTAACTTTTTGATAAACTGCCAAACTTTTTCTATAGTGGCTGTACCATTTTGTATTCCCACCACCAAAATATAAGGATTCTTTCACTTCTTTTAAAAAAATCTCATCCGTGACTATTTCCTCTCTATTCTGCATGTCTCATTTTATTTCACCATGTACATTTCCATCTTACATCTTTGACTTCCTCATCCCACATTTCTTATCTTCTAAATATGCAAATAATAGGCTTTTCTTTGTCCTGGAGTCATTTATGACTTTCTTAGCCTGCACTGTATACAATGTATTTAAACTATGAAGAGCAAAAAATCTCTCACATGTTTCAAGTTATTTGTAAAAAGACATATTCAAAGGTGGTTAAATATGGATAAGAACCCTGACTTTATTTGCCTTCCCTTTCTCTTCAATTATATTTATTTAATCCAATTTATTAATTTTGAGATGAAAAGTCTGAAATCATATTCTTAGTGTGTAGATGGTGTAAAGTGAAGCAAATTTCCTCTTACTGTGGAAGAAATACCTCAGTATGCCCTGGTCCATTGGACCCTCAAAATCTTTGCTGAGGTGTCAAGCCCCTACATTTTCCTTGGATTTGCTTCCTGTCCTTTGGTATATATGGACCTCTTCAATGCATCTAGGATGTCTGTCACTTCCAACATTTTATATCTATCCACAGAATGGTGGATGGACAATGTCCTTGAAGGCTAAATTATGGCTCAAAGTACAAAAGTTGTTCTATCTGAAACAATATGTCAAGGCACACTGCTTCCAGTGCTCTCTACTTATTGGAATAAATAAAAAGAAAATTGTCAGGCCAATAGCTGAATAATAGGCATCAGAACTGTGTTGACTTATTCAACTGAAGAGGTCATGTGGAATAGTATCTGTATTTAATATCACCACTTGTTTAAATTTACAGTAATTCACTGACATTCTCCAAGACTCATCAGTCACCTGCATATGCTAAAGAAAGGGTTGTTCTAATGAGAATATGACAGGAATCACTACCTTTATTGGTTAGCATGAGTTATTTTATTGAAAAGAGATCTAAAATGATAAAGGCATTAAACTAGATGAATTAATTTCTCAGTAAATGAAAGTTCTTGTGTAAGCAGACTATAGTTAGGATGGTGGTAATGTCGATGATGCATTTCCTCTATCTTGTTCTCCACTGTTCCTAGCATTGTTCCTTGGTCTGCATTCCAACCAGCACAAAGGGAAGAAGGAAAATAATTAGACCTATGCTGCACTTTTAAGGTAAGATCCAGAAATTGCCCTCATTACTCTCACATATAACCTATTGGCAAAACTTAGTCACGTTGTCATACTTGAACGATATGGCAGGGAAATGTAGACTTTTTTTCTGGGAAAATGTAGGCTATTTTTCTAGCTAAAATTTGAAGATATTTCTCAGAGAAAAGGGGAGCATGGCCAGTGGGAGATAAGAATAGCTGTTGTCATATATCCTTATACATTTCAAACCTGAGATGCTGAACTGACCTCTGCAATTCCCCTAGAGTGCAGCTTTACTTGAATAAGGACTGGAAACTCAAATTGTTTAACTTGACCCTTTATTGCATAATAACCCTCATTTGGCAGTTCAGTCATCTCTACACATGGGAAATGTGGAAATAACCACAGTCTGTGTCTGCAACCTACCAATGCCATTTTGACAGAATTAGGCCAAAAAATCCAATTTTCACTTCACCTTCAAATGTCCACATTTTGCTAAGGAAATCATCATTACATTCTGACTATGTTACTTCAGAAGCAGGGGTCAATAATTCATGAAAGATCTAGCTATTTCCTTTTTCCAACTACATAATCACTTTAGTAAATAGTCAAAGGTAAATTTTGACTATTTTGGAGGCAAGACCTTCTTTCAAGGTTGGCTGGCTTCCTCTACATTCAGAGCAGTGTGTTTAGAATCAAGTTTGAAAATTGGATGAAAACCATGATGACATCATGGTGAATTGGGAAAGGTTTCCATCAGATTTTATCATCCTTTTTTTTTTTTAAGATTTATTTATTCATACATACGAGAACGGGGGTACAGATCAGATGTGCGGGAGGGTGAGAGGATTCACTAGAGACAGACCGGAGAGCAGAACAGACAGACTGACTGAAATACACTGTGGAGGGGAGCAGCGGGCAAGACAGGAGAGGTCTGCTGCGCCATGTGGGTTTCTCCACGGCTGGATCGAACCAGCACTGCAGAGGCTGCGGACAGCTAGCTTCACAGCGCTGCACTCAACTGCCTGTGCCACCAGGGAGGTTCCTTATCATCCTTATGTTAATTTTATTATCTCAACCTGTTCACTCCTAGGGACCTCATGAAAAGTTAAGCCACTCACTACCACAAATCTGTTTCTAAAACCCAGTCACCACTCCAACTCTGCTGCACATTACAGTAAAATTCCCTTTGCCTCAAATTCTTATGATGTTCGCTGGCCTGTCACCCTAGATACCCATGATCACAATTGCTATCAGGAATCCAAGTTCAATAGTAATGTTGGCCGCCTTCCTTCCCAGCCTGGAGAGAAGATTTTTGTAAAGATATCTTTGGTCTTCAAACAATGCATATGTGTTAGTTATAGTCAAGCATAGTCAGGAGGAAAGCCAGAGCATGATGAATTCACTTTACCTCCTTCAAATTTTAGATTGCTTTTTCCATATCATGGAAAGAAACAGTTTGTATTTCAGCTTCATGCCATGTAGGTTATTTTTGAATGTCCACTTTAATCAACCTGTCAGCAAACAATGAGAACTATTCCTAGCAGTTTCAGCAGCACTTGAATCTAGAATTCATAATTACAGCTGTATCCATAAGTTTGCCCTAATGTTCCATCCTCCATAGAGTGGTATATTTAGAATCTATTACCCCCACATTTGCCCTTCATTGAGAGAAATAAAAATAAACAAAATCTTGCAATTACTCACTAGCCTTCTGCGTGTGCTAGTGTTCTTGTCTCAGCTGAGCCCTGCTGAGGTCTGATAGCAGTAAAAAGATTGGAAGCCATACAAAGTGGAAAATAGGGGCAAGAAGAGAATTTCTACTATCTTACAACTTGAGTACTTCAGATAAGCCCTCAAGTCGCTGCACGGAACATGGCAGGAGGAGTTGCTTGTATTGGTTAGGAGGCTCTCGTGTCATTTGAGTGTTTAGAGTAGTTGGAGCCATCTAAATCCTCCCAAATGTTTCTGTTACATTTCTTGGTGTTTGCTCCTTTACAACACAGATCTGCATTTGGTTGTGGGGGGTATTGAAAAACTTCAGTTTCTGTTGCACAGAAAGCAGAAATAAGATAATTTATCAGTTAAATTATGAATGCTAAAATAACCAGTAAGTTCCCATAAACTATGTACAGTAGAGGCAAACCTTTTTCTAAATTGGTGGTTTATTTGAACACTCAAGAATAACCAAAAAAATGTATACATGAATTGATGGGAATACCAGGCTTGACTGATTGAATCAGAGTCTACTTGGGAAAATGATTCCAAGATTGCACAGGTTTCTCTGTATGTTAAGAGGGAAGCAAATGGAGGTCATTTCTAGGTATATGTGTACATGCAACACTAAGAAATGCTGACATTAATATATAATATAACCCTGGAGACCACATTCAGTGCATTTTCTGAAGCAGACAACTTTTACAAGATAGTTTGGATAAAACTGACCATGACTATCTTCAGAGAAAGAAAAATGAGATATATTTTTGTGCGTTTAAATCCTGCATTGGGGCCTCCCCGGTGGCGCAGCGGTTGAGCGCTGGGTTGCGAAGCTGCCGACAGCCTCTGCAGCGCTGGTTCGATCCCTGGCTGCTCCCCGGCCACCAGAGGAGGGTCCCACATGGCGCGCAGACCTCTCCTGCCGCCCGCTGCTCCCCTCAGCAGTGTACTTCGGTCCTTCTGCCTGCTCTGCTCCCCGCTCTGGCTCTGGTGAATTCCCTCACCCTCCCGCGCTTCTGACTGTACCCAGTGCTTGTATAAATAAATAAATAAATAGATATATAAATAAATAAATAAATCTTAAAAAAAATAAATAAATCCTGCATTGCATCATGCATATTAAATAATACATCTGCTTGTTAACTCCCCAACTTGAAATATATGTATGATTGATTGGTGCTTTCCCATGTCTATTTTCCCATGCGCTATGAAGATCAACAATAAATATATTAACAAGATATGCCAGTTAATCTTCCCTTTTCCCGCTCCCCCCTCCAATGTAAGAGTATTCTCCTTTTAAGTATAGAGGCAATGGATATGTCCAGGAACAAGGACTGAGCTTTAATTAGATAAGATTAAATTTTTCCAAATGAAACAAAAATCTTCAATTCTTTATTTAAATCTAAAGTGGAGGCATGCTAAATGAGTATTTTATTTTGAAATAGATATGTCCAGAGCAAAAACAATTCGAACCCTTCAAGTAAAACATATTTTAGTATAATTCTTGAATAATGAGCTTTTTGTGAAAAAGATTATGCCTATGATGGAGAATAGTTTATCTGCCTGATTTTGTTCAATCTGAATGAATTTCCTAAGTTCAGTTAGTTCACTACAGAACTGGAAAGTTGTTTTAAATTATATCTTCTTTCTCAAATGTTTTTAGTTCCTTGAAAAAAAACTTTCATGTCAAAGATAAATTAAAAGACCATAAATTTTATGAACCTTTCCTTTTACCTTCCAAACATCTGAAAGGCTCAGTAAATGATGGCTGGAGACAAAGCTTCCTTAGAGGCTCCACCATCCTCAACCCCTAGCCACATATGCCACTGATGCAGGACAGGTCTTGAAAGTGGGCAGACAGACTGCATCTGTACAGGAGGGCCACATACCCCAGCCGCCATCCAAATCCTACTTCGCTTAGCCTTTAGTCTTCTCTGAATGTTAATATTCCTTTTCTTTTTCTTGGTATCCATTCTTTATCCTTGATGTCCTATTTCTTGTTAAGCATCCCAGTTAAGGCCATCACATTAAACCTCTCTCTTTCTCTCCTCCTTCCCTCCTCTTTCTTTCCTCCTTCTCCCCCCTAAAATGAGTATATTTCTGGATTCCTTTCAATAGTAGTCATGGACCAGAAAAGTATGGAGGTATCAAGAGAACCTAGAGAGACTGGAGAGGTGTCACCAGTGGAAAGAAAACAAGAACATGTAAAGGGTAAGAGGGGGGCCACAGAAGACACTTGGGTTTAATTTATAATCTGGGCAATCTTGCTTGTAATCTGCCTCATCAAATTAAATAGTCTTCAAGGTAAAGAAAACAAGGTATACGGACAGGAAACTGTGGTGCCTGACTTCACAGCTTCTCACAAATGCTAGGAGGGCAGGGATGGCTCTTCGCATTGATACTCCTCCCTCTAATGTTTTTCTAGTCCCCCTTTTTCTTCCAGAACTAGCTTGTCTGCCTATGGAGAGGATAAGTCTGTAAGTATGAGTGATGAAAGAATCTGAGACTATCAGACCACCTCACAAAAGAGCAAAGATATCAAAAGGAGGAAATAGACTTAACTTTGGAGGTTATTTTTAAATATCTAGTCCCATTACAAGTAGAGTGTGTTGTGACATCATTGTCTGCAAAATGCCTATAATGTAGGCAAATTCATGTCATTTATTCATGTATGTATTAAAAGACCATAAATTTTATGAGCCTTTCCTTTTACCTTCCAAACATCTGAAAGGCTATGTATTTGTTTGTTTATATTTACTGCTTGACTTCATAATCAGATTCTCCTGTTTGGACCCCAAAAGTGACTTGTCACTGAGTGAAGGTAATTTCCCATGGCAGGTGCTCCCAGCAGGTGGCTGTTCAGGGTACCTGCATGGAAAAGGTAGATTTAGTCAGAGATTTTATTTTAATATGAAATCTGTATTGCAGCCTGAGCCACTACTGGGTGATGTGCCAAAATTCATGTCTGCAGCATGATTTATTATGTGAAAATACCACAGAACTAATCAGTGGAGTTACTAATTAATACAAATCTGCATTTTTGCATAAGCAATTAGTGCAAGGAGAGAGCAGTGAAAGAGGAAGTTCAACTCCTTTAATCTCAGTGCCTACTCGAGCGGAAAGACCCACCAGGGCCAAACTCCAAGATCTACATTTGGAATTTTCCCCCTTTGATTAGTTAAAGACATGAAAGGTCAAACTATCAATATTCATGTGAAAATGTATTTGTTACAGAGGAAATATTTTATTTAAAGGAGGTGAAACTTTAGGAGTCAATTTTTGAATCAAAACTAGTTTTATTTTCCATTACAACAAAGTCTGAATAATATTCAGTAAGGATTTGGATAGCTAATAATAATGATTTAAAATTATATTAATAATGGAGTATATGTTTCTAAAATGTTTAAATTAACAAAGGTCTTGCTCTTATCAGGGTCACATCTGTACTAGAATTTTTCTAGTGTATTTTGGAGAAGTCGTGTGTATTATGATGCGATACTTTGAATCTAGTATAATTTATAATTGTGTGGTTCACCAAGTTTGACATTATCTTTATTCTGAAATTATCAGAAAATAATGTCATTTAATTCAGTTAATTTATTTTCCTACTGATTTAATAGAAACTGAATATAACTAAAGAGTAAATAGGATGATCATGATGGAAAGAGACATCAATAAAATATATGCTCCATAAAACAAAAGTAAATAAAAACATTTTTAGAGATGATTTATTATTTCTGTGGACAGCAAACAGGAGTTCATTTTGATTTTGAAGTTGTGTGGCAAATAAGTGCAAATATTAGAACCATGGCTATCTTTCTGAAAGTTCTTTATCATTTCTTTGTTTCACACCCATTAAGTCTTTCCCCACCCCTAAACCTGGATATCTAGCTTTCAGGAAACTTATTATTTTTTTAAAGTGGATAATTAAGTGCAAATTTACAAGGTTCTCTAGAAGTTAGAGTGTGGTGGTCAATGATTTTATAAAAGAAGGTGGACAGGAAAAGCAAAAGCTGCTGGAAGGGGAGTGGTTTTGCTGAATTTACTGCAAATGTCAGGGTCAGCCAGGTGGGAATTGTCCACGGTGCTGATACGTAGAATTCATTTCTCCTACAAGCTGGATTGGGGCAACTTGGAACTTACCTTCAGGAACTTGCCCTGTCTCCTCCCCCAACCCCTTGCAGCAGCCTTTGTTCAGAGGATGCTCAGATGCAGCCGGTCCATGTGTCTCTGCTCTCCACGTAGCAGCTACACCCAGCTACCAGGGATTGTTGCTTTCTGTTAAGGCAAAGGTTGGCAAACACTGGGCCCTCCTCAGTTACCTGCCCTGCTGTCCACTTCAGACTACAAGCTGTTCCTCAATCACAGTGAAACAGGTGTGCACTGTGAGTTTATGCTCCTTACCTGAGAAGACACATACAGATTTATGCACACTCACATACCCACTTGCACTCACATAACTTACATCTCCCTACACTGACACGAATCACATACTCATTCACACACCTGTACATTCACTACACACAATCACATGCACACACATTTACATACACATTCCATTCGCATACAGTTCACACACGCTTATACACTTACAAATTCACACTTGCACATTTAAGCACACTCACACATGGAGCCCATCTGACGAACGCAGTCTTGAGCAATCATGTCAGTGACCCATGCCTGCCAACATGTTCCGAGCTGAGTTGATTTTACAGTGTTGAATCTCTGTAAGATGGTTTCAGGAAAGACAGTCAGTCCTGACCAGGAATAGAAGACAAAGTCCCCAGAAGCCTGTAGGCATCATGAGGTGAGCCCCCGGGGCCCGCTGGGACTGGAGGATGTAAATAATAAATAAAAGAGCCCAGACAGGCTGAGCTGGAGAAAGCTGGGTACTAAATCACTCCCCAAATCACAGCCGCGTCCTGCTCCATCCAATAGCTCTAAGCGATTTGTGGGGTTGGGGGTTGGAATCAATTTTTTTTCCGTTCTCGCAGGTGCAATATGAATCAATTATCTTAATTAAGATTATGCTGCAAGCCCAGGAGATTTGGGGAGGACGGATTTTGCGCTCGGGGCGACGGCGAAGCATTTTAATAGCTTCTCTCTTGCTCTCGGCTCTCCCCCGTCGCCTGCCTGTCGAGCCAGGGCAGCTCCAGCCTCTGGCCAGAACCCGGGCGCCCTGCGGCCTCCCTCGAGGCGGAGGCGCGCAAACCCAGCGCCAGGCCCTCAATCTGGGTAGAACTCGCAGTGGCGCCCTCCAGCTTCCCAAGGGTCACTGGGCTGCAAGGCTTATGAGGAACCTGCAGCCCTCAGCCCTACAGTCTCAGCGGTCTACCATCTCACCAACTCCTTAGCCCCCCGCCACCACCGCGGCGCCTGAACGCATCCAGACCAGGACACCATACTCCTGGTTGGAGCGGGAAGGGGACGCGGGCTCCGCTCGAGGTCGGCGGGGCAATCCTGGCCACACTTGATTCTTTCATTGAACGCAAACCTCCCTTGCAAGAGCTAGCATCTGTTTCCCCTAGAAACAGGTCACAGCCAGGGACGCCAGCCCGGCCCCTGCTCTTTATCTTGGCCCTGTGAATGCGTCGCACTCCCCGCCCCCCGCCTGCTACACGCTTCCCACTTCTTAAGTCCCGACCACACGCCTCCATCCCTCCCCCCTCCCGCCACCCTATTCTCCCCGCCCAGGTCACGCTCCCCACTCCCCACCCCCGGCCACACGCTGCCTCCCGCTACACTTCCCGCCGGCTCTCCGCCTGCTGCTGTAACGGCCGGGACCGCCGGACCGGCGCCGCGCACTCGGAGCGGGGACCCGCGGGGCGACAGATTTGGGGCATTGCTCGAGGGCAGTGAGTCATGAAAGCGGCTTTTGTTGCCCGCGCGTGCGGTTCGCGTGCCGCTCAGCAGCCTGCAGCGCTCAGTGGGGACGCGAGCTGAGGAGGGAGCGCCGCTCAGCAGCAGTGGGGGCAGGAGGAAAGGGTAGCTTTTAGGGAATTGAGAGAGGAAAAGTATGCAACCGTCGGAACGAAGCCCAAAAAGGAAGAAGAGAATAAGAAGGAGCGAGGCGGTGGGCACTGTTCTCTGTGCTGGACCGAGACGCACCTCGAGCTCCCTCCTCTCCTAGCGTTTGGGTAGCCGCTGTCCTCCGACCCTGATTTCTCCACCCTCCCGCTCCCAACAGAAAAAACACCTCAATCCAGGCTTCGTCTAAGATTCTCCCGCCTGGGTCTAACCTTCAGGCAGCGACCTCCTGGGAATCCTGAGGGCACTAGCTGAGTGTTGCCATGTGGGCAGCTGAGGGGTAGCCCGCACCTGAGCGCTGCGGGCTGGGAAGCACAATGAGAACCGCGGCGAGACCGAACCTCAGTGGGTCTCTGGAACATCCTGGAGTGCCCCTTTCTTTGTACAAATTCCCCAGCCCGGCGAACAATAGGCAGTGGGGTGAGGGATAAATTTATGGGGGGGATGAATTTAATAATATCTGGCACTTAGCACATTTGAGTCTGGGCTGACGAAACTCCCCGGTTTCCTTCTTTGCCCAGGAATTTCTGGTTCCAAGAAGAACCTGTATTCCACAGGATGTAACAAACGGGAAATGTCTGCTTCCCAGGGGAGAGGGGAACCCCTAGTGGACCCGGTACTTCCGAGCAGCTAGAGCCCTCTCACTCCACTCTCAATGTTTTTCCCCTAAACTGAGAAATGAAATCCAAGGCAGGCGGTGCACATACCTAGGGCACAGTGGGTTAGCTTTTCTGGGCAACTCCCGGGACAATGGCAGCACTTGATCTGGTTCTGCTGCAAGTATTTTCGAACCTCCAAAGTTGTGATCTAGCCTCCAAAGGTTGTCATCCCGATGCTCCTCGAATTTATCATCTCACTTAAGATACAGAAGGTGCAGGAGTAAGACAGATGGTTCTGAGTCTAGGTGAATTATTCTATCCTCCTCTGTTCCCTACTTCTGCACGGGAACCCAGCAGAGCTTTAGGCAAGGGGACATCTCACACCGCATACCTCCCCTTTCAGATTTCCCCTGGAAGCGGTAGAATGCATATGCCAGCTTTCCAGACATAGAGATCCAGTTAGGACCCTCTTCTCCTCGCCGCAGTATGTCCCCTGCCCTGGCCCTCCAGCTCCAGCCTCTCAACCCTGACAGTGTTTGCAAACTCAAGGGGCTTTTAGAGCAATTGGCTTTAAATAAGCAATTC